TAACTCAGGACGGTACTTTGTCAATCATGTGTTGGGAATACAAGTACCTCAGGAGGTTACTTACTGTCAAATCATGTGGTGGAATACAAGGACTCAGGACGGTTACTACTGTCAAAACATTGTGGTGGAATACAAGTCTCAGGGAGGTTACTACTGTCAATCATGTGGTGGAATACAAGTACCTCAGGGGTTACTACTGATACACACTTGTTCGGTTGAATTAACACTAACTGGAGTTTACCTGGAGAGAGTTCCGGGGGTCAACGCCCCCGTGGCCCGGTCTGTGACCAGGCCTTCATATTGTTTTCTGCAGCCCACTGAAAGATTTGGTTGATGTCTGCCTGGAGCCATGCAGTGTCTGCAATGGAAGACACTGTCATGCCAGATTCGGGTGTCATCTGCCAAGGAGACCGGTGCTGTGGCTGACATCCTTGTCTATGTCGGTTATGAGGATGAGGAACAAGATGGGAGCGAGTACTGTGCCTTGTGGAACAGAGTTTTTCACCGTAGCTGCCTCGGACTTTACTCTGTTGACGACTATTCTTCTGTGTTCTGTAGTGAGGAATTTATAGATCATCGACCGACTTTTCCTATTATTCCTTTAGATGTTTGGTCCAAACAATATATTTATCACTGTTTTTACTGGCCGAGCACATTAAAACTTTTATATTAACTGAGTTAATAATAAAAGAAGTAGTGGGACCATAAATTATTTCAAAACTATTAACAAACACGAATTCTCGCACCATTAAAAACCACTATTTTTTTTTTCAAACGAACTGAAGCCATTATTTTGGCACGAAACAAACTGAGATGGGTAAATAATTTTAATGTTTCCGTGAATGGGGAGTCCATCACTTGGGTTTACATCAGTAAAATATTTGGCAAATCCCCTTCGACCCATGCATGTCAAAGGGGGGGAAAAAAGGGGGGGGGGGAATTGATAGGGAACAGTGTAGTAAAGAAAGCGAATGCCAGTGAAGTTCCGTTGACCTGGAGTTTACCTGGAGAGAGTTCGGGAGGTCAACGCCCCCCGCGGACGGTCTGAGTCCAGGCCTCCTTTGGTCAGAGCCTGAACAACCAGGCTGTTGCTGCTGGCTGACGCAAACCAACATAGGGCCACAGCCCGGTTGATCCGGAATAGACAAGCACAGTGTCTATCTACTGAGGCTCGAAAGGGACCATATGTTCTAGCCCTCTATACAATGCCATATGGATTAAGCTTGCTTTGTCTTGTACTTGCTTGACAAAAAAACTGAAAGATAGACTGCAATCACCCAGAACCAAAAATCGTAAGCATTCATCCTGGGGGTGGTGCACCAAGAGAACATTGTAGGCCAGGATGAATTAAAGCAGTTGATATGCAGGAATGTTGAAGACAGAGTAAAAGAAACTCTGAGCTAAATCATGTTTATAAAATTGACTCACAATGTCCAGAATATCTGCCTGTCAATTTTGTCATGTGGGAACCAAAGCAATATAGAAATAGGGGGAGAGTGCACAACTTTTGTTAGTCACCCACAGTATTGGCCAGGCTTCCAACACTTTTATTGTACAGCAATAAAGGAATGGAAACAGGACTGCCCGCAATGTCAAAGCAAGTCATTTAGCATGAACCAGTGTCAAGAAGAGAGCCAAAAAGGGTGTTGATGAACTGTAGCTACAGAAAGGGAGCGGGACTGATTTTCTATTTTTTAGCAACATACGTGTCAATTTTACCCATTTCCTAGTAATGACCCTCGTATTGTAGTATAATGGCCCGTGTAGTAGATAGTCTTAATGACCCTCGTGTAGTAGATAGTCTTTTTAGTATGATAATAAGATGTTATCTTCATTGTAGAATAATAAGAAATTATAACCTTTATATTTTAATAAGGTAAAAGGACCCCAATGGAAATAAGTCACTCTGTCTGACTTTTTTGGGTTATCCTAGGTTCTCTACACATGTGCTGCTATGTATGATAATTCTATGTAACTGTATTTGTGTATACCTGAATAAACTTACTTACTTAGTAGTAGGTGCATCGAGTGGCACTGAAGTTCAGAGTTACCCCTGCGGGGGTCATGCAATATTACACTTTCTCTAACCCATTGCCACTTCAGAAAATGTGTTCTTGCTAGGGTATACTATACAAGATGAGTTCAACTAGAATCCCTTCATATGCTTTTACTCATATGTAGTGTCAATCACTCGAGAAAATATAAAAAATATTTTTTCCCACTCGGGGATGGCGCCGCCGTTTATGACGAATATCTCGAAAATCAGTTGACCTATTTACTTTGATATATCTATAAATAATGAATGAAATTAAAATTTTCACAATAAGCATTCATCAATGTATGTTTTACAATTCCATCATTGTATTTTCTAAAAATCCAAAATATTTTTGCATTTATATTCGGCAGTGAAAACTGGATAATTTATAAAAAATCTACCAACTATTGTGAATTATTACATGAGTAAATTATCTGCACGAGATTTACAGGGTATTACCCGAATTATTACAGGCAAGTAATTTGAGTGAGATAAGTGGGACTTAGGTCACAGTAGGTAGCCGAACTGTAACTCCCTCGATGCTCACTCCTTACCACTCACAAAAAGCTAGACCTGCCATTAAATAATTATAATATTAAACATTAGTACCAATAATAGTAAATTATAAAATAATGTGGACTGTATATGATTAGGCTTACTGGGTACACAAAACAAATTGGTATTACCATTTACCATTTATCACAGGAAGAGATTAATGCTGATGGAACACACCCTAACCTTACCCTAGCAACTAGAATTTATGATGACCAACACAAAAACTACTGTACATTATTGGTAATCATCACTAGCCAAGGTGTGCCCTGGGAGAATTAGTGTCCTCTATTTTTCCATCTTGGTTGCCGACTTATAAGGGTTTTCCATATTATTTATCCCAATTGTTCAGCAGGGAACATTAACAGGGTTCCTATTACAAATTCAAGCCGAAGAAACACCAATTGACTTTCGAGAACACCTTATTACGTTGCACAATTCAGTCCAGTGTTCACACATTAAATTCAGTATAGTCTATCTCAGCAGCGCCACTCCCACGCCTTTTCTACCCCCCACCCTTCACTTAAAATTTCTCGAAGGTTCCAAATAGCATAAAATTTTAATATACAGTTATATTCATTCCTATTTCCTACATTTAGGAAAATTAAGTAAAAATTTTCCACAGCAACCTTATTCCTCGGGGAGATGAAAATAAATTATAAACATTTTCAAATAATGAAAAATGTCGATTACACATTAGTAGAGACATACCAGTTTTATTTTGCATTGCCCATATTGGGGTTGTGATTTTCCCAAATAAAAAAAATAATATTTTATTAATTTGACTTCTCATTTCTGTCAAACTTTTATTTCTTAAAATGAGCATTAAAAATGAATGAAACAGAATGAAAACTATAATAGTTACCTGTGGCGGCCTTACAAGTTGCTCCATGACTGCATAACATGTCAGAAAATCACATTGAAGAATGCTATGTGAAAAAACTATGATTCCACTGTAAGAATTAAGAGAAATGTGTTTATGAATCGTAACAAGAATGCTGTCAGTGCAGGTAAGAATTAAATGATTAGGAGCCTGTCCAGCATTTTACACCATGACGATGCGTGCACCACTCTTATGAACAAGAATGAAATATTTTGAGCAATATGCTGTAGGAGTGAGTGCCTTGCTGATATTATGATCCAGAAAATGGTATAAAATACCGACAGGTTGTTAGGTAAGACACATATGCAACAGTTAGGTATCTTTATTTCGAAACGTTTCGCCTACACAGTAGGCTTCTTCTTGAAGAAGAAGCCTACTGTGTAAGCGAAACGTTTCGAAATAGATACCTAACTGTTGCATATGTGTCTTACCTAACATACTATCAACTTCACGGCACTATCGGTAAGTGCTGATGGGAAATTTTGCTTTGTTTCTCTACCTTCACTATAATATTTTAAACTAAGATTTTCATTCTTAAATTCTTGGACCCTGAGAGCAATTTTCAGATCATGGTCTGAACCTTGGAAGAGTTAACTGTTGATCCAGGGCTGAGCTCACTACTGTGAGATACACTAGTTATGGACTACAAGTACCTTTGGAAGTGTCTGTCAAACATGTGGCGGAATACAAGTACCTCTGGAGGTTACTACTGTCAAACATGTGGCGGAATACAAGTACCTCTGGAGGTTACTACTGTCAAACATGTGGTGGAATACAAGTACCTCAGGAGGTTACCACTGTCAAACATGTGGTGGAATACAAGTACCTCTGGAGGTTACTACTGTCAAACATGTGGTGGAATACAAGTACCTCAGGAGGTTACTTCTGTCAAACATGTGGTGGAATACAAGTACCTCAGGAGGTTACTGTCAAACATGTGGTGGAATACAAGTACCTCTGGAGGTTACTACTGTCAAACATGTGGTGGAATACAAGTACCTAAGGAGGTTACTACTGTCAAACATGTGGTGGAATACAAGTACCTCAGGAGGTTACTGTCAAACATGTGGTGGAATACAAGTACCTCAGGAGGTTACTTCTGTCAAACATGTGGTGGAATACAAGTACCTCAGGAGGTTACTACTGTCAAACATGTGGTGGAATACAAGTACCTCAGGAGGTTACTACTGTCAAACATGTGGTGGAATACAAGTACCTCAGGAGGTTACTACTGTCAAACATGTGGTGGAATACAAGTACCTCAGGAGGTTACTACTGTCAAACATGTGGTGGAATACAAGTACCTCAGGAGGTTACTACTGTCAAACATGTGGTGGAATACAAGTACCTCAGGAGGTACTACTGTCAAACATGTGGTGGAATACAAGTACCTCAGGAGGTTACTACTGTCAAACATGTGGTGGAATACAAGTACCTAAGGAGGTTACTACTGTCAAACATGTGGTGGAATACAAGTACCTCAGGAGGTTACTACTGTCAAACTTGTTCTGGCTTAATAAAACACTAATGTCTGGTCAACAATATATTTATCACTGTTATACTGGCCAGGCACATTAAGACTTTTATATTAACTGAGTTAATATAAAAGAAGTAGTGACCATAAATATTATACAAAACTATTAACCAAACACGAATACCGACCATAAAATCCACTATTTTTTTTTTCAACGAACTGGCCGAATCCCACCGCGGAAGAGTGACCTAAAAAGAAAAACTATTTTTTTTATTTTTTAAATGTAGTAATTTATTCAGGCAAAGGGGTTACTAGTCTTTTGCTCCCGGCATTTTAGTCGCCTCTTACGGCACGCATGGCTTACGGAGGAAGAATCCTTTCCACTTTTCCAGGGAGAATACAAATATTTAAAATGAATATTGACCAACATATTATACACAAAATTTTGATCAAACAATAATTATCATACAGAAAATGCTACAAAAGACCGAGTAATGAAATGGAGATGGCAACACACCGCTGTGGTGGCGACGTCAGCACTCCGCTGTGGTGGCGACGTCAGCACTCCGCTGTGGTGGCGACGTCAGCACTCCGCTGTGGTGGCGACGGCAGCACTCCGCTGTGGTGGAGACGGCAGCACTCCGCTGTGGTGGAGACGGCAGCACTCCGCTGTGGTGGAGACGGCAGCACTCCGCTGTGGTGGAGACGGCAGCACTCCGCTGTGGTGGAGACGGCAGCACTCCGCTGTGGTGGAGACGTCAGCACTCCACTCTAGTGGCGAAGGCAGCACTCCACTCTAGTGGCGAAGGCAGCACTCCACTCTAGTGGCGAAGGCAGCACTCCACTCTAGTGGCGAAGGCAGCACTCCACTCTAGTGGCGAAGGCAGCACTCCACTCTAGTGGCGAAGGCAGCACTCCACTCTAGTGGCGAAGCAGCACTCCACTCTAGTGGCGAAGGCAGCACTCCACTCTAGTGGCGAGGGCAGCACTCCACTCTAGTGGCGAGGGCAGCACTCCACTCTAGTGGCGAGGGCAGCACTCCACTCTAGTGGCGAAGGCAGCACTCCACTCTAGTGGCGAAGGCAGCACTCCACTCTAGTGGCGAAGGCAGCACTCCACTCTAGTGGCGAAGGCAGCACTCCACTCTAGTGGCGAAGGCAGCACTCCACTCTAGTGATGGTGACAATAGTGATTGCACAGTGAACTATAGTGTCAACACAACACCACAGTCCATCACGGTCACCTCTCTGATGTCTCTATGGTTGATTGCTGCCTTCACTACATCCAGACCTTTCACCACTTTACCAAATACACGAGACCTCTGATCACCTCTGAGGTCCCTGGTGGTGATGTAAAACTGAGTACTTTTCTTACTCCACGGCAAATATGGTAGCCACACATCACCAGCACATCCTGACTTCTTGTACTTACGGTCATCTTGGTGATGAATCAACAGTGGGGATCCTCCATAACCATTATTATGCTGGTAGTCTCCACCCCTCACACACTCTCCTGGCTCACCCTTGTGCCACACCTGTAGTAGTTTAGTGTTGAGGTAGGAGCAGCCCGGTTTCTCACCCATACACATCATCTCAAACTGTGTAGCCAGCGTGGTGTCAGTCAGCCGGATGTGGAGTCTTCCTCTGTTTGATCCAGGCCAGGATAGGTCAAGAAATACCAGGGTGAAGGGATTTACCTCCTTCATTACCTCCTTCACCTTTGCGAACTGTAACCATAATGTTAATACTTTACCTTTTATTCTGAATTATAATTATCTCTTAAGTTGTTTTTTTCCACCTGTTACAAATATTATATATTATCACTTTTTTTAAATATTACTGTTATTGCTATGTAAATAATTATAAATGCTGAATTATAATGATTTCTAATTAAAAAAATCACTATTACGTAATATATAGCTAAATTATTATGACAATGAGCATAGTTTTAAGAGGGTGGACAGGTAAGCCAGTGGAAGGTCTCGGTCAGATGACCAAAAGCTCCAGCTGTGGGTCTTCTGACTAAGACCCGCGTCGGAAATCACTTGTCCTGTTTCCTAATAAACCTAACGAACCTGACCTAACCTAAGCTAACAAACCTGACCAAACCTAACAAACCTGACCAAACCTGACCTAAGCTAACAAACCTGACCTAAGCTAACAAACCTGACCTAAGCTAACAAACCTGACCTAAGCTAACAAACCTGACCTAAGCTAACAAACCTGACCTAACCTAACAAACCTGACCAAACCTAACAAACCTGACCAAACCTAACAAACCTGACCAAACCTAACCTAAGCTAACAAACCTGATCTAAGCTAACAAACCTGACCTAACAAACCTGACCTAAGCTAACAAACCTGACCTAACAAACCTGACCTAAGCTAACATACCTGACCTATCAAACCTGACCTAAGCTAACAAACCTGACCTAACAAACCTGACCTAAGCTAACAACCTGACCTAAGCTAACAAACCTGACCTAACAAACCTGACCTAAGCTAACAAACCTGACCTAAGCTAACAAACCTGACCTAACAAACCTGACCTAATAAACCTGACCTAAGCTAACAAACCTGACCTAACAAACCTGACCTAAGCTAATAAACCTGACTTAAGCTAACAAACCTGACCTAATAAACCTGACCTAAGCTAACAAACCTGACCTAACAAACCTGACCTAAGCTAACAAACCTGGCCTAATAAACCTGACCTAAGCTAACAAACCTGACCTAATAAACCTGACCTAAGCTAACAAACCTGACCTAACAAACCTGACCTAATAAACCTTACCCAACATAACCCGATGACCTTATTGTAAACACAACATAACAGTTATATGCTTTATTAAACATTTATTAATTTTAACAATAGGATTAAATTATTACCTGGAGTTTACCTGGAGTTACCTGGAGAGAGTTCCGGGGGTCAACGCCCCCGCGGCCCGGTCTGTGACCAGGCCTCCTGGTGGATCAGAGCCTGATCAACCAGGCTGTTACTGCTGGCTGCACGCAAACCAACGTACGAGCCACAGCCCGGCTGGTCAGGAACTGACTTTAGGTGCTTGTCCAGTGCCAGCTTGAAGACTGCCAGGGGTCTGTTGGTAATCCCCCTTATGTATGCTGGGAGGCAGTTGAACAGTCTCGGGCCCCTGACACTTATTGTATGGTCTCTTAACGTGCTAGTGACACCCCTGCTTTTCATTGGGGGGATGTTGCATCGTCTGCCAAGTCTTTTGCTTTCGTAGCGAGTGATTTTTCGTGTGCAAGTTCGGTACTAGTCCCTCTAGGATTTTCCAGGTGTATATAATCATGTATCTCTCCCTCCTGCGTTCCAGGGAATACAGGTTCAGGAACCTCAAGCGCTCCCAGTAATTGAGGTGTTTTATCTCCGTTATGCGCGCCGTGAACGTTCTCTGTACATTTTCTAGGTCAGCAATTTCACCTGCCTTGAAAGGTGCTGTTAGTGTGCAGCAATATTCCAGCCTAGATAGAAACAAGTGACCTGAAGAGTGTCATCATTTGGGGTTGGCCTCCCTAGTTCTGAAGGTTCTCATTATCCATCCTGTATTTTTCTAGCAGATGCGATCGATACAATGTTATGGTCCTTGAAGGTGAGATCCTCCGACATGATCACTCCCAGGTCTTTGACATTGGTGTTTAGCTCTATTTTGTGGCCAGAATTTGTTTTGTACTCTGATGAAGATTTAATTTCCTCGTGTTTACCATATCTGAGTAATTGAAATTTCTCATCGTTGAACTTCATATTGTTTTCTGCAGCCCACTGAAAGATTTGGTTGATGTCTGCCTGGAGCCTTGCAGTGTCTGCAATGGAAGACACTGTCATGCAGATTCGGGTGTCATCTGCAAAGGAAGACACGGTGCTGTGGCTTACATCCTTGTCTATGTCAGATATGAGGATGAGGAACAAGATGGGAGCGAGTACTGTGCCTTGTGGAACAGAGCTTTTCACCGTAGCTGCCTCGGACTTTACTCTGTTGACGACTACTCTCTGTGTTCTGTTAGTGAGGAAATTATAGATCCATCGACCGACTTTTCCTGTTATTCCTTTAGCACGCATTTTGTGCGCTATTACGCCATGGTCACACTTGTCTTCTAGTGCATTTGGGACCTTGTCGTAGTGATCCAATAGTTGAGACAAGACAGGAGCGACCTGTTCTAAACCATGTTGCCCTGGGTTGTGTTAACTAATGGGTTTCTAGATGGGTGGTGATCTTGCTTCTTAGGACCCTTTCAAAGATTTTTATGATATGGGATGTTAGTGCTATCGGTCTTTAGTTCTTTGCTGTTGCTTTACTGCCCCTTTGTGGAGTGGGGCTATGTTCTGTTGTTTTTAGTAACTGAGGGACGACCCCCGTGTCCATGCCCTCTCCATAGGATGGAAAAAGGCTCGTGATAGGGGCTTCTTGCAGTTCTTGTGAACACAGAGTTCCATGAGTTGGCCCGGGGGCAGAGTGCATGGGCAGTCATTTATCGCCTGTTTGAAGTCATTTGGCGTCAGGATAACATCAGATAGGCTTGTGTTAACCCAAAATTTTGTGCTCTCATAAAAAATTTAATTTTGATCTTCGACTCTCAGTCTGGTTAGCGGCTTGCTAAAAACTGAGTCATTTGGGACTTGGTGCTCATTCATTTCCTTGCTGTATCTGTGTAGGACCCATCTTGTTTAAGTAGGGGCCCAATACTGGCGTTGTTCTCGACTTTGATTTGGCATAGGAGAAGAAATACTTTGGGTTTCTTTCGATTTCATTTATGGCTTTTTAGTTCTTCCCCCGATTCCTGACTCTCATAAGATTCCTTTAGGGTTAAGTTCGATTTCTTGCTTTTCTCTGACCAGTGTCTCCCTACGCATTTCAGATATATTGACCTCTTTTAGCCGCTCTGTTATTAGTAGTCGATATTTTCAAACTTATGAAAATAATGTTACTTTTGTATTTTTAATATAAATAAATAATTAATCTTCCACCATTATTTTTACACCAGAAATTTTTTATTAATGTAAATAAATTTAAGAAGTTTATTGTATTTTATAAAGAATTATATTTTAATAATAATGTTCCTATTATTTAGTTTTTGAAATTAGGTCACGATCAGTGCTTGTTAGGTCACGATCAGTGCTAGTTAGGTCACCAAACGTGCTAGTTAGGTCACCATCAGTGCTAGGTCCCATCAGTGCTAGTTAGGTCACCCTCAGTGCTAGTTAGGTCACCATCAGTGCTAGTTAGGTCACCATCAGTGCCCGTTAGGTCACCATCAGTGCTAGTTAGGTCACGATCAGTGCTTTGTTAGGTCACGATCAGTGCTAGTTAGGTCACGAAAATGTGTAGTTAGGTCACGATCAGTGCTAGTTAGGTCACGATCAGTGCTAGTTAGATCACCATCAGTGCAGTTAGGTCACGATCAGTGCCAGTTAGGTCACGATCAGTGCCAGTTAGGTCACGATCGTGCCCGTTAAGTCACGATCAGTGCCAGTTAGGTCACGATCAGTGCCAGTTTTGGTCACGATCAGTTTCCGTTAGGTCACGATCAGTGCCAGTTAGGTCACGATCAGTGCTTTGTTAGGTCACGATCAGTGCTAGTTTGGTCACGATCAGTGCTAGTTAGGTCACGATCAGTGCTTTGTTAGGTCTGATCAGTGCTAGTTAGGTCACGATCAGTGTAGTTAGATCACCATCAGTGCCAGTTAGGTCACGATCAGTGCAGTTAAGTCACGATCAGTGCCGTTAGGTCCGTCTTTTTGTTAGGTCACGATCAGTGCTAGTTAGGTCACGATCAGTGCTGTTAGGTCCGATCAGTGTATTTAGGTCCGATCGTGCTAGTTAGGTCCCGCATGCTGTTAGGTCCCCAATGCTAGTTAGGTACCTCAGGCTGTTATGTCAGATCAGTGCAGTTAGGTCACGTCGTGCTAGTTAGGTCATGTCAGTGTAGTTAGGTCCGATCAGTGCTAGTTAGTAGATCAGTGTAGTTAGGTCACGAAAAAGTGCTAGTTAGGTCGTGATCACGTAGTTGGTCACGATCAGTGCCAGTTAGGTCATGACAGTGCTAGTTAGGTCATGATCAGTTCTAGTTAGGTCATGATCAGTGCTAGTTGGGTTTCATGATCAGTTCTAGTTAGGTCATCAGTGCTAGTTAGGTCATGATCGTACTAGTTAGGTCATTATCAGTGCTAGTTAGGTCATGATCAGTGCTAGTTAGGTCATGATCAGTGTTAGTTAGGTTACCATCAGTGCTAGTTAGGTCACGATCAGTGCTAGTTAGGTCACCATCAGTGCTAGTTAGGTCACGATCAGTGCTAGTTAGGTCACGATCAGTGCTAGTTAGGTCACGATCAGTGCTAGTTAGGTCACGATCAGTGCTAGTTAGGTCACGATCAGTGCTAGTTAGATCACCATCAGTGCCAGATAGGTCACGATCAGTGCCAGTTAAGTCACGATCAGTGCCAGTTAGGTCACGATCAGTGCCAGTTAGGTCACGATCAGTGCCAGTTAGGTCACGATCAGTGCCAGTTAGGTCACGATCAGTGCCAGTTAGGTCACGATCAGTGCCAGTTAGGTCACGATCAGTGCTAGTTAGGTCACGATCAGTGCTAGTTAGGTCACGATCAGTGCTAGTTAGGTCACGATCAGTGCTAGTTAGGTCACGATCAGTGCTAGTTAGGTCACGATCAGTGCTAGTTAGGTCACGATCAGTGCTAGTTAGGTCACCA